TCAGATTTAATTAAATAACCCAAAATTGAACTAATCACATAAAATTTAACAAGTGAACAACTATAAACTAATCAAAAACTAAATCAGTACTCTACGTCCAACAATTTAATTATTGGATCCTTAGCTGATTGGAAATCTTGGGCTTTTCGTATAAACTTGATCTCGGGTGCTCGAGATTATTGAGCAGCCGAAATCTTCAACTGATCCGAAATTTGGGATTTCGGTAGTGCGAAAAATGTAACCAAGGCTCCTAGGGTTCTGATCCATGATCTTCACTTCTTTTCTTCAACAGCCGTAACAATTATATGTAAAATATCAAGAACAAATCAAAAGCTAATTTAACCAAAACTATTGATGTTGATCAAATTAATTCCAGAAAAATTCTCAAATATGAACTAAACAGAATTACGCCAAGGTTCTGATACCAATTGTGTGTAATCACTTATCAACAGTCGAATAACAAATAAATAATAATAATATGTAGAAATTGAGTAGAAGAAGAATAACTCATCCACAATCAATATTGTATATTCATAATGATATGACAATAATAATACATGATACACGAATGATTTGTTGAGAGATAAAACTAGAGGTGCTCTACGAGAATAATAAGTGCGGAATTAATTGTGTAGAGGCTTTTGTTTTTCGAACCCCTCTATATATCTTTATTTATAGGAGAAATGTCGAGCATCCCAGTACAAGTAGAACAAATAGGAGTGTGGGCTTATTAATTAAAAATCATGTTTCTCTCTCAACTAATTAAAAGCCTGCTAATACTAAGACTAATTAATCAAAGATAATTACAATTTATTTGAACACAATAAATAGTATTTTAACAATTATTGAATTTACGAGGTTGACAAATTTTGTTATTACTTTTGCATGAATAGTAAGATACACGTGGGGCCCACACCGGGAGCGGAGACCACCCGATATTTCTGGATTATATATTGTTGAGGAAAATATTTGTTGTGATCAAGTTTGTCTAGAGTCTTGTTATCTCAATTAGATTAGACTTATCCTTTATAGCATTTATGTAAAGAATAAATGAGCTAAGGGAATAGGGCCCAAAAAGGCCTTAGGCCCAAAGTTCTAGGTTACCATTTCGGTACCTGTACCTACGCCTATAAATATGCGTACATGTGGTACAGGACCGAATAGTCTAGAATCAGAAATATACAGCGCCTTTCACTCAGAGTTTTCTTTCTATATTTCTCGATAGTATAGCGTAAGGATTTCTTCTGTTCAGATTATTTCTCGATCATTATTAAGAATCCTTCTCTATATTATTGTAGATCGTTCATAGCTGTTCATTCATCCTGAATTTTGGGACCAACATATATTATATTCATATTGGTCTAAATAATATTTATATGATGGCGTATATTCATTTTGGGACATAGATACGACATAGAGTTGGCAGGTTGATCAAACGAGGCCCATATACCGGTATTTGTAATTCGGATGATAACAGACCGTAATAAATTACGGGAAACACTAAATCAAAGTTGGGAGAATATAATCATTATAGCGGCCCATGATAATTGATAAAATTATATATATTTTATTTGGTCCAATGAAATGAAATTTAATTAAAACTGTCTGAAAAATACAACTTCCGGGCCGGGTCGGGTTCATTTTTCTTTTCAAATTAATTCCCCCACCCCCACCCCCCCAAACATCACCCAGCACTACCCACCTAGCCGAAGACCAAAGCCAACAAAAAAAACAAACAAAACCCGGCCTTGACTGGTCCCAGACACTCCACCCCCTACCCCCGGATCAGGCCCCAGTACCGGTCACGGTCCCGGCCGGCCGGTCGAGCCAGTACCGCACAATGGCGGTCCGGGCCGGGTATGTTTTTGTGTTATGTTTAATTTAATTTAGTTTATTAATGCATTTATTTACACATGGATTACCTATAGTAATATAGGAGTAGCTATTTGATCCATTGTGTGTTTTATGGATGTATGCACGTTGCAATTTATTGCATGGTGATATGTTTTTACTGGTTATTACTAAAAAATAACTTTTATTTTTATGTAACTTAAAGTTTTTATATTGAGAGAACAAATACATATTCATCTCAACTATATTACCTATAACATATATATTCATGAATCTTTTTCATACTAGTCGTAAACAATGTATGAGTTGTTAGTGTCATGTATGAAAAATATTGTCATGATTGAAAAAGCCGCAATTAATTATACAGAGTAATAAATACTGCCATGTTAAATGCACTGTACTACAACTATTTGGCAGTCACGCCTACAAGATGACAGTAAATACTACCATATTAGTCCTATTTCAAAAATAAAAACGTAACAGTCCTATTTTGGAATTCCGAATTCGATTTACTCATATTTTGGGAAATCTCCTTTTTTTAAATTTATTCGGGACAAATGATTTTTTTTTCAATGGTGAAAATCAAACTATTAACACTCCCCCTCCACCAGGCTGTTTAAAATTTCTGTACATATTTATCGCCTAATTAAAAGGATGATTGTATCAAAACTATTATGACTTTTCTGAATTATGTGGATTGGTTAACATATTCGATATTTTTTTACCTGATGTTATGTAGGTTATTAATTGATATTATTCTGTATTTTATGTTTAAATTAATGTTTGTTATGGAAGTAAACCGTAGCAATTGTTTTACGTACAAATGGTTTATTACGGATAAAGCACGTAACTAGTTTGTTTTTTTTAAATTCAAATTCTTTTCATACGAATAGCAAGTTTGTTACACATTTTGTCCGTTTGTTACCTTACAAAGCAATCTAGCTATAACAACATTGGTAACTATCTTTCGTTTTTTTGTTGTGAGAATAGATGGAGGGTTAATTCTAAAATATCAAACATATGTACTAAAAATACGTATTACAGTTTCATTCCTCGGATAGCCCGCTCCGGCGAATCGTCAATAACCCGGTTGGTGACCTTTTTCGCCATATCAAACTTATCAACCCACTTTTTCATTAAACACGTAATTTTTTATTTTGCACGTTGAATTGTGTTATACTACGTAATAAGAAAAGGATAAAATTTGAGTTACTTTTCTGGCTGTATTGGCTGAAGTTACTATATACGATCATTTTAGTTATTTTTTAATTTCATATATTTATTTCTTAATTTTATTAATAAAAAATATTTTAAATATAATTTTTTCATAAATCAACAGAATCGGCTAATATAACCACTTGAACAAGAATTTTATAAATTTCAGCAGAATCAGCGATTCAGCCAATTTGAGTGTTACCAAATGCGGTCATCATGTACAGAGTACATTAAGTTGTTGAGTTGTTCCATAACAACATAATAGTAAAAGTATTTAATTAATAAACATCCTATCACAAAATAAAACTCCCTTTGTCCCTCTTATATTGTCTCGTTTTACCTCTTCGGGAACCCCCACTAAAATTGTCTCATACCATGCATATTTGGTAAAGTTTGTATGACTCTAAATCATTCTTACTTTATTCTTACTTTATCAATTAATATCAATCACATAAACTCATTTTTCTTAATAATCGTGTCACCCTTTTCCGTCCCAAAATAAAAGGGACAGAGGTAGTACTTGATAAAGATTTAGCCACATAAGGCAAAACACAATCACACATGTTTAGTCAAAAATATAATTTAATAACGACTATTTATTTATGAGCATTTACAGATAAATACTGAGTCAACTAGAATGAGAAAGCATGAACAAAGGTACTATTTGAAGACATTCTCTCGAGCAGTCATCTCGACCTCTTTGGAATTTTGATTTAATCCTAGAACCTACAACAACAAAATATGCAATGTCAGACCTACTCTAATCTAGATGGTTTGATCAACTTCCTTTACTTTAGTTTCCATATTAGGATAGTACTACCTCCTTCCCCTAAGTTTGGGACAATGAGGTGTGGTGTGGTTTTTAAGAAAAAGTAGAATTGTGTGGTTGATATTGAATTGATAAAGTGTGAAAAAGTAAGAATGAAATCTAACCACTCAAATATTACCAAATATGGTATGAGACAAACTTAATGAGACGGACGAAAAAAGTAAGACGGGACAAAGTTAGGGGGACGGAGGGAGTACTAGTTTACTTCATCTTCGTAGTTCAGCTGTAATTTCTCTCTAGATTATAGATAGGCCGGGCTCAGAGACTCTATCAATGTCTCGATTCACATTTACAATGTTTTTACTTGGACTATACTTTGTTGGTCTGGTCTGGCCTGTTTTAGTTTGGTCTGGTTTGGTCTAGATTAGTCTGATCTAGTCTGATAAACGTCTTGTCTCTGAGTATTTTATAGCTACGGAAGTCAAGTCCGGTCTGATCTAGTTTGGTCAGTTTAAGTATGGTCTGATCTGATCTGTATAAAATTGGTCTGGTTTGGGACAGAAAACCGTCTAAGTAAAAACAAAGCCTATGAAATAAAGAAGGATTAAAATCCAACTACTACATGGAAAAAATTGAAAAAGTCAAAAGGTTACTCATAAAGTGCCCATTTGCCCAAGCAATTTCTTCTGCTCTGAAATCTGAATCTCCCATTTCATCATTTTTATGATTGGATGAGAAGTATTTTACTTCGTATATCAAAAGAAATCACAAGTTACAACACGCAAGATGACCCCTAAATATCCGCTCATTCTAAAAAGATATTTCCATTACCCATCATGTTTTTAGCCTAGGTTTGGGGTGATTGGGTATGATCAATGGGATTGAAAGGTTAGTAGCTAAGTAGAGATGAAATACAAAATTGTATCCACATAATCTACCAAATAAAAGTCTTTCTAGTACATATTTACCTTTGCTTTTGATTTAATTGTATAGACCAGTCATTAAGGTGTTAAATTGGAATTCCTTAAAGTAGGAATTATTAAGCAAAAATACAAGGAATAATTAATTGAAGGTTTTGACGGGATATTGGGAAGGGACAAAATAGAATCACATACTCTCTATATATTTCAAAAATAATTGAGTTTCAAACGCCAACTAACACCACAATTAACTTGCACCCAACAAAGTAAAGCTCAGGAATTAGAAAATGGAGGCAGCACTAAGTCTGCTTCTAACTTCCTCCCTTATCCTCCTCCTCCACCTCCTCCCCATCTCACACCCTCTTCCATCTGATGATCAGCCGAGGCTCATCGAGAAACAACTCAAGCTTGATTACCTTGGGGAGTCTGGGTCTCCTCTTAAAAATGAGAAGAGTGTAAACCTAGGCCACTATGCCGGTTATTTTAAGCTTAAAAATACTAAAAATGCAAGGTATGCGTATACATATGAATATCAAATGTTAAATTTTGTTTTATGGCTCACAAAACAATTTGTTTATTACACTTGCGGTTACACACTAAAATAGTCAATGAACCATGCGTTCTGATCATTGCGGGTTTCAATATCTCCTCATTCTTCCAACTTTCCCCCTACTCAAGTAACTGATCTACCCGTGCGGGTTGGATTCGATCTATTCATAAAGCTAGAAATACTCATTTTAAAAAAAACTACTAGTATATATACTTATTCATTTAGATTTTTTTATTTGTACTTATTTTAGTCATAGATCAAAACAAATCAAATCAGACTAGATTAGATCATTACACTTAAATATATCACACTAGAACAAATTAAATCATAGCTGATCGGAAAATTTTTGTCCGATTAACACATTTTAATCATGTAAGTTTTGGGTGTGATGTGCCTACTATTATTTAGTCTCGTAATCTTACTTATCAGTTTGCACATAATCTTACTAATTTGCATATAATATTTGGTACTTCGTACTCCGTAATTAGTAATTTTGTTCGTTTCAAGGACATGTATCTTTTTTTTTTTTTATCATTTCAAGGACATGTATCTTAGAAAGTACAGCTTGCATTTTTCCGCCGGAAATTGTACATTTCCGAGGCAAAGTTAGACAACTTTTTTTATTACTTAAAAAACATATAGTGTGGATGTTTGTATAGTTAAACACTAGTAAGGGTCTGTTTGCAACAGCTTCTGCTTTTAAAAAAATGCTTTTTTTAATGAAATGGAGGGAAGTGATTAAATAAAAGTCAATAGTGTTTGAGAAAAAAGTGATTTTGAAAAGTAAAAGTGGGTAGTGTTTGGTAAAATAAGTGCTTTTTGTGTAATAGAAAAAGTAAAAGCACTTTTGACGCGGAAGCCGAGAAAAATAAAAGTTGTAGTATTTGGGAAAATAAGTGCTTTTTTAAAGCCAAAAGCTGAGAAGTGCTTTTTTAAAAGCAGTTGCAAACCAACCCTAAAAAAATGCTAGTTTGCGGTGGATTTTAAGTTACACGCGTGGCGGTTTTGACCGTCACAACTAGGGGTGTCCATCGGTTCAAAATCGGACCGGACCGAACCGGACCGTAATCGAATTTGCAAGAAAATAGAAACCGAAAACCAGACCGGATATATTCCGGTTTTGAACCGGAACCGAACCGGTTTAACCGGTTCAAAACCGAAACCGGACCGAAAAACCGGTATCTAAATTATTAATTTAATTACTAGCAAATACAACTTATTTGTTTAATAAAAATAAGGGTATAGTATTTGTGACTAGTAATATTACTATTACTATTACTATTTATTTAATTACTTTTATTAGTCTTAGAGAGCAAAGATTGGAGCAATTTGAGTGTAGAATAGTAAATATTAGTTAATACTATTATCAAGTAGGAAGCGAGCAGGCTCGCGGGTTGACAGAGGCAATGAGGAGGCGACTGTGCGACGGGACGGCGGTGGCCAGGGCAGGCTGGGCAGCGCCGGCGGCGAGCGCGGGCTGGACGAATTGAAGGAGGCGAGAATGTGGCTTTGCGGCTGGACGAAGGTGGCGAGCAGGCGGTCGTATGGTAGGGCGGCAACAGTAGGCGGCGGGCGGCAACTGGGCGGAGGCGGCGGCAAGCGGGTGTGCGTGGGCAGTGGGAAGTCAGGGCCTAGGGTTTTAGAAAAGGAGTAGGAGGTTATTAGGGTTTTGTAGGAAAAATATATATTGTAATAATATTTTGGGGAAAAAACTAGTTGAGTCATAGATTGGGAAAGTGAGGGAGTTTTGTTCATACCTAAGATAATTATCTCCTTAAAAGGACAAGGTGAGATTTCTTGTCCATTGAAGCCGCTTCCAGCCGCCCCGACCTCCATAGCCACCACTTTCACCGCTCTGGCCGACCTCCATACTCACCGCCTCCGGCTACCACCTCGGCGGCCTCCACCTCCACTTCCGCCCAAGGTTTTAAATAGCAAGAAGTTACAGGCGTAGCGGTCATGGGCGGCTCCGCTACCGCTATTGTAACACCCCGGCCCCACAGGACCTTGCAATCCTATGGGCGCAATGAGGAAGTTGCGATCCTAAGTGGGGGTGATTGTAACACTTGAGATTAAATATAAAAGGATTAATAGTACTACGCATACCAACAAAGGTGCATCTTCTTTTAAGGGAGCTCATCAGCTAAGAATTTCAAAGTTAAGTATGCTTGCACGGGAGTAGTCTTGAGATGGGTGACCCTCTAGAATGTTTCTCAGGGCGCAGTAAAGGCTCGTGGTGGTTTGTGAGGACAATACTAGAGGTGTAGAGTAACTACCTTAGGTCTTGTGGGGTAGGGGTGTTACAACTAAATGCCGCTATTGTGGTGTGGATGCAAATCACGATGAAATCCGCTACGTAACCATGACACAACCGCGAAGGAGCCGCTACGCCACCGCATCAGGCCGCTGCACGCCTCTACCGGCCGCAACAAGCCGCCTCTGGCAGGGACGGGACTTCATCTATTGACGAAGCTTGGGTATGGTCATTGGGCTGGAGCCAGCGGCGGACGCAGGAATTTCTGGTAGCAGGGGCGGCAGTACAAAAATATACATACAAATACATATACATGAAAAATTTCGGGGTAAATATACCTAGAATTTTTTTTGGAGGGGCAGCAACCCCCTTTGTCACCTCCTGTGTCTGCCACTGGCTGGAGCAATACGGTTGTTTTGGCATTCCTATCTTGTGCGAACTTGAAATTATATCATGCCGCAACCGAATATGTGGAAAATAATGAATAAAAAAGAAGGTAGTTGGACATTATAACCAGGGGTGGAGACAGGGAGGGGCTGGAGGGGGCCTCGGCCCCTGCAAGAAAAAAAAATCTTAAGTATATAATATGTATAAATACATTTAATCTGTAGAAAATGTGCTGATATTTCAAAGTATGGCCTCTACAATGTAAAATTTGTAAGGACCGGCCCCTTTAATCATATATTTCTGGCTCCGCCACTGATTATAACTGGAAACCGGTTGTTGAAGGGGTAAATAGCCGATTTGATCATTTTTTAGACGCTTCGCTGACTTAATTAGTCCATTAAATAGCACATGAACTCAAATGATTTTGTTTTAAAAATAGATTAACTTATTTGACAATTTTGGCTTTATTATTCAATTAAAACATGTTTTGTACAATTGCATGCATGCAGGATGTTCTATTTCTTCTTTGAATCGAGAGAAAACAGAAAGAGCGATCCGGTAGTGATATGGCTAACAGGAGGACCGGGATGTGGCAGTGAATTGGCTTTGTTCTATGAGAATGGACCGTTTCACATTCAACGCAATTTGTCTCTTACTTCGAACAATTACGGTTGGGACAAGGTAGTTAATATAATTATTTGCAGCTGTTATGTTTCCTACCTATCGAAACAATAAGTTTTTTTTTTTTTGACAAAAACCTATGGAATTAATAAGTGAAAGCAATCTTCACTCTAAAATCATATCACCACTTTGATATTTTCATATTTTCTCAATTCTTCTTTTGCTGCAATACTTTTGACTTTGTTGCACTCATGGGCAGAGCTAGGGGAGGGCCATCCCTGGCCCCGACCCAGCCCAAATTTTAAAAATGTCTGTATTTTTAGTGTAAAAAATTCCGTTTAAAAATTTTCAAAAAATATTCTTTGTATCGGCCCAGTCCGGCCTAGTGCTCTAGCTCCGCCCCTGGTTGCACTCTTGCCAGGGTTGGACTCCGGCCTAGTACGTGTCGTAGTCTGAGATCTAGTCCGCATGATGTGACGCCGTTTATTCATTTGAGATTTACGATATATTTTGAGTTGCGTGTTCAGGTTCTCTATTGGCAGACTAGTATCTCGAGTGATAAATTGAGATTTAAAGCAAATCTTTTGAACTTGAAATTCAAATGTAATGGGACAGTGATAGTATAAATTATAGATTTTGGATCAAATAAAAAGTTCTCCTCCACGAAAAGTAATAATGAAATTAATGCATTGGATCTAAGATCTATTGGTGCTAAATATGTCAAAAATGCATTAAAGTTGAATAAAGAGCGGCGACTTTTTTGTAAATAAATCAAAGTTTTTCATCTTTACAAAAGCTAAACTTTTGCATGCAATAGTGTACCGTAAATGATTAACAGTGGATGGCAGAAAACTTTTCAAACACAATAATGCACCTGAGAATCTGAGATGGTTAAAAGTGGATGGGTTAGCATTTTGTAAGAGAAGAATATTTTTTATTTGCACGGAAGCTTATCTGGCTATATGTAAATAAAAGTCGAAATTTCATAGTTTTCTTATATTTATTGCAGATTTCAAACATTATCTTTGTGGATCAACCAACTGGAACTGGTTTCAGTTACAGTAACAATAGTAATGACACTCGCGTTAACGAAAAAGGTGTCAGCAAGGACCTCTACAACTTCTTGCAGGTGTGTCTTACATTAAAGAGTATCATTGCTTCATGGGGTAGGCAAGAGTTTGAGGAATAAATAATTTAGTCGAAGTATATTCTTAATACCCTCTATTTAATTCAGGACATGCACAAAGAATGAACATGAATTCATTTTATTCTACCACATATACAGAGGCAGAGCCAAAGGGGTCAGGGTAGTGATGGCCTCGGTGCGGGCCACCCGACCTGGGAACCGGCCCGGCCCAGTACTGTGTGGGCCCGGCCCGGCCCAGTACTGTGTGGGCCCGGCCCGGCCCGGGAACCGGTTCCGTGTCTAGGCCCGGTTTAAGGGATGAAACCGGGGCGGTTCTGGGATTGAGTAAATGTGAACCGGACCGGCCGGGCCCGGTTCGGGCCTTTTTTTTGGATTGGGCTCGGTTTAAATGGGCTGGGCTGGGTGTTTCCGATGGGTTTGGGGGATGGGGGGGGGGGGTAGGGGATGAAATAATCAAGAAAACAAAACAAAAAAATAGAACTGGACCCGGCCCGGAACCAGTAGACAACCGGGCCGGTCCCGGGCCTAAACCATTGTCATCCAGACTCGGCCGGGCCTAGGCCCACCCCAGACCTGAGCCAGACCCCGGTCCATCACTAGGTCAGGGTGTTCAGCCGACCCCCTGAAAGTTCGAGAATATAGAGCACTAAGATATCTTCGATTTGATATATTATAACTCTCGTAACTCATTACGAGTAAAAAGTTATCACTTCTTGAAAATGAGCACTATCTAAACTTGAAATTAGTAAAATATGATGTGTAATACTTGGTACATAGTATTAGTTTTATTCTCTAAATTTAAAAATAGTGTCTAATTCAATCATTACTTACATGAAGTTAATGTATATGACATATATAGCAAGCTTTACAACTCTATTAGTCTTATTTAAATTGTTATTTATATAAGCTATACATGATATATTCAAATCATGTATTGTTTAAAAGCGATCATTTCTTTATTTTTTTTATTTTGTTAGGTTTCAACCCCTCTGAGTCGTTTTCCTAGCTCCGCCACTGCATATATATATATATATATCATTACTGTGAACAAAATCCAACCTTGAGATAGTAAATTCTGATTAGTGATAATCCAAAAACTTATTAGTAAAAATTAGATAAAAGAATTTTTTACACACAATAATCTCAAGACAAATGATCAGTTACATTCATCTTTTGAATCCTTTTTATTCTTGATTAGTTCAGCAAAACATATCAGCTCTATCTTCTAGTTACGAGTGCAAAATAAAAAATGAAGTGTGGCACTAAAATGGAATGAATGGGCAGGCCTTCTTCAAGAAACACCCCGAGTATGCCAAAAATGATTTCTTCATAACTGGAGAATCATATGCTGGGCATTACATTCCTGCATTGGCTTTTCGTGTTAATGAGGGAAACAAGAAAAATAAAGGAATTCATATAAACCTCAAGGTATCTATCTATATATAGCAGTCATATAGTATCTCCGATCCATTCTCCAATACAATATAAAACTTGTTTAATTATATCAACTTAACAGTGATATATCTTCGTTTGGCTGTTGATATTCAACCAGGGCTTTGCCATTGGCAACGGGCTCACCAATCCATCAATCCAATATCCAGCCTATACCGACTACGCTTTGGAGCAAAATTTGATCAATAAAACTATTTATGACAAAATAAATCGGACTGTTCCGGCTTGTGAGACATCAATAAAGAGTTGTGGTAAATCAGCTTTTTTGTTTGTTCCTTACTCCAATCATACTCTTGAATAAGGCATCTTCTTACCCCTGATATCGAATTGTCTATTTGGGGAATAACACATACTTAGTTATAGTTAGTTCTATCTATGAACTTTATAGATGTTTTACTTGAATCTCGAGCAATTTCTTTATCATATATCCATACATTTCATGTTTTTCAACAGGCACCAAGGGCGGGAACACTTGCATTACAGCTCTTGGGACTTGCCTCCAAATCTTCAATGGCATACTTGATGTTACCGGGAATATAAATGTAAGCATTTTTGTGTGTGGGGAGTGGGGGTAGTAATTTAGTATGAAGCTTATTTTTACAAAACAAGCTGATAAGTGATAACTATAGCTTGATAATATAATCTTTGGTAAGTTTATTAACCTATAGTATTGTTTGTAAGCTCTCTCATTTCATTTCATTTTTATTTACCCCAGTGCCGCAAAGGCTCCCACCTACGGTAGGGTAAGGGGGGTCGGATGTATGCAGTCCCCTGTACTAAAGCACAAATAGACTGTTTTCGGATGACCCATAGTGAAAATCGCGTCCAAAATTGCATGGATTGACTGCTGCTTCATAATGAGCCATTTTGCTTTATTCCATCATATTCTCAAGCCAAAAAATAATGAATCTTTGGCTCCATTGTAAGCTCTCTGATCTCATAAAATCATTGGCATAAAATGAGGCTAAAAGCCAAACTATGTAAAGAGAACACATCAACTCATTTGAAAAGCTGCTCAATAGAAGTTAATAATCCAAGTTATCAATTATGCTCAAGCATTTGCCTAATAACTTGCATCAACCAAACTAAATTGATTTGCTTTACCTTTATAAACACTTGCCTTGTATGAACTGCAGTACTATGACATCCGGGAGAAGTGTACAGGAGGACGTCTCTGCTACGACTTCTCGAACATGGAAACTTACCTCAACCTGAAAAAAGTTAGAAAAGCTCTAGGAGTTGGGAACATTACTTATGTTTCATGTAATACTGATGTGCAAATCGCTATGGAGCGTGATTGGATGACAAATCTCGAAGTTGACATTCCTAGCCTCCTTGAAGAAGATATAACTATGCTTATATATGCTGGAGAGTTTGATCTTATCTGTAACTGGCTTGGTACGTACGTAGATAATTACGCTCTACGTTATCCATGGTACTAAACTACTAACTACTAACTAATACGATAGTATATATAATGCGCATGCAAAACTGCTATTAAAATACTACTACTACTACTAACAATGATAGTTATAATAAAGTTACACCTGATTTGGGATGAATAGGAAACTCAAGATGGGTTCATGCCATGAAATGGTCTGGTCAAGAAAACTTCAGCAGAGCACCTAATGTTAATTTTACTGTGGATGGAAATGTGAAGGGAACACTAAAGAGCCACGGACCACTGAGTTTCCTCAAGGTGAGTGATGCAGGCCACATGGTCCCAATGGATCAGCCTGAGGCAGCATTAGTAATGCTTCAGAGGTGGATGCAAGGAAAACTTAACTCAACAATGTAATACCATCTCACTCCCATATATAGACCCTTAACACACTAAAAGAATTATTATTTCACTTTGTTTTCTTAAGATGACTGGTTTTCTTATAGCGTTCTATTGACTTATTTTGAATTTGCAACTAAAATGGCTCTTTTACTGAATGCACCACATAAACAAGTCATTATTGCAGCAATAGAGAAGTGTGTATCAGGCATTCAGGCCTGTTCACTAGGCATATCATAACATAGAAACAACCCTTCATCCAAGAACATGATAACTTTATTCATAACTAGAGAAATTTTAAGTCACACAGATCTTCCATGAAAGGAACCTCAATATTTTACTTGCTCTCGCAAAAAATCTGTCTAGGGCATTGGTTAAAGTGTTAAACCAATACTACTATAGTGCCATGAAATAAAAGAAATCAAAGTCCACAAGGCCTCATAGAATGAAACAACCAGCATAGGTAGCATTATATATGTGTGTGTATTAAATGTTTTATGTACTTATCAATCAAATTTAAAATAGGGTAAGGAAGTAGAAGGAAAGAAAAAAGAAAGGAAATGAAGACATAAGAAATGTAATGATAACTAACTCAAATTCGGAATTGTGAAAACAAACCTCGAGCAAACGACTGAAACTAGTCTGGGGTTGTCAGCATTCCCATTTTTTGGCAGTGCCAATGTCATCCGGCCTCAGCATCTCCCCTTCCAAATAATTATTTTCTCACGGAACTCAAGTTGCTGCAGCGATAAAAGGCGCTCGCCTATGTAGCACCGATACCGGTACGCGGAAACGCGGAAATGCGGAAACGGGTACGGGGATACGTCATAACAAAAAAAAGTAGGATACCGATACGGGACTATATTTATAAATATTAAAAGTTATGGGGTGTATTTACAAATATTAAAAGTTATAGGGGTCTATTTATAAATATTAAAAATAGTGTTTTTTAAATATATATATATAGTAGTCTTCCTGTCAGGACCGTCCAGAAACGGACCTCCGTACGGACCTCGACATTTGGGCCCCTTCCCGGTGGAATTTTTTGATGAAATTTTTTGGGAAAGTTCTTCATCAAGTCTAGTATATCCATACCAAATTTCAGAAAACAATTCAATTGGGAAGGCAATCAAATGATTTTTGGAAGTTAACTGCGCACTTTATATACATATAAAATGCAGTTAACTTCCAAAAATCATTTGACAACCTTTCCGATGGAATTTTTAGCTGAAATTTGGTATGGATAAACTAGACGTGGTGAAGAACATGCTTAAAACATTTCATCAAAAAATTCCACCGAGAAGGGGCCGAAACGCCGAGGTTCGTACGGAGGTCCGTTTTTGGAGGTCCTGACATGAACTTTCCTCATATATATATATATATATATATATATATATATATATATATATATATATATATATATATATATATATATATATATAGGGCAGAGTTCCGGTGAGAAAGGTGCCTTGGGAGAGAAATGAGAAAGAAATTCATCCGTTGATTTTGACAATCGTGTGCCTATGTTAATTTTTGAATTGCATTAAACTAATCAAATTTCCGTACAATTCGGAACGGTTCCAAGGAAAGTATGGAGAGTCATTAATACACAAGGGCATTTTGGTAAACATATTGAGAGGCGTTGGCACGTGTGATTGTTGTTGACCATAAGTCAATAGAGCATGCTTTATTTGTATGGCCGCAAAATCCTAGATAGGGAGCACAATAATGAAGAAACACAATTGAGATAAACCAGCACCGTCTAGTGAGAATTGTGCATCCAAACAAATAAAAATAGATGGAATTTGGAAATTGTAATTTATTTATAAAAGTCACTAAAATAGAAGCAGGAAGATAAAATATATTTTTTAAATAGAAACGGAATTGAATAACTGCACTTTTTTCGAAACTCTATGCACAACTAACTAATTGAATTGAATTTTATTTTTTTTCAATGATAAATAACACTCGGTACATCATATACTTTAATTTAATTCTTATGCACTTTTAACATGTATTTGTGCAACTTGTATGGTAATGTCATTATGTATTTTTTATTTCAATACCTTGTGCACTTTTTAATATATTAAGTTGCACTTTTCTAATTATCACTTTTATTTCATTAAGATGCACTTTTTAATACATGTATACTACGTACAATATAGTGCATCATAGTACAATACACTAATGTTTACAACATAGTGCACTAATGCATACACTATAATGCATTATAGTGCACTAATATTATAGTGTATTAATTATACATATGAAGATAATAAGTGCACTAAATACTCCGTATATACAATATAGTGCACTATAGCGGACTGATCTGTGCAGTATAGTTATAATGCATGGAAGTCATATAAAATTGCACCATTGTGAATGGGAAAATGCACTTGTGGTTTAATTGATGACTAAATATAGAACAAAAAAATTCAAACCTAAAAAGTGCAAACGCATACAGCACACCCATCTTCCTCTCAATTGATAAGTGGGTTTCAATTTGTCCACAGAAATCACAAACGACAAACGTGTGTAAAACACCATACAATTTAAATGATTTCAACGAATCACAAAAATAGCTAACAAGCAAGTTAGTTAATTTATGTTGTAAATTAAATATAACTTCTAGATCTTGATTGCTTTGTTGTATGATTTCGTATGTTTTCTTTGTGTCGATGAGAAAAATAGAGGAGATGTCGAATGATACTGAAAGCACATACCATTTACGTCTTTGTGGAAGAAAATATGAAAGAATAAACAGAATTGTCAAAACTAATAATTAAAGGAAAGAGATAATCTTCCTGATTCCACGACCGCAAGATTTGGAAAGAAAACTGAAATGTCTAAAGTAGCCTCAACGAGAAAATAAAAAAAATAAATTGAACATCTCATCTAACGGTTGTAATGTTTTCTTATTTTTCTCCTAAGATGGTTTTCTTTTATATATATATATATATATATATATATATATATATGTCTATATATATGTATGTGTATGTATATATATATGTATGTATATATATATATATATATATATATATATATATGTATGTATATATATGTATATATATACATATGTATATATATACATATATATATGTGTGTAAATATATATATATATATATGTGTGTGTGTGTGTGTGTGTATATATATGTATATATATTTATATAGAAAAGATCAGGTCCCTCTGGAAGGACGGGAGGGACCGTCCGGCCAAGGCCATTAGAGGCCTTTCCCGGTGGAATTTTTTGATGAAATGTTTTGAGCATGTTTCTCATCAAGTCTTGTTTATCCATACCAAATTTCAGCTAAAAATTCAACCGGGAAGGCACTCAAATGATTTTTGGAAGATAACTGCGTTTTATATGTATATAAACTGCGCAGTTAACTTCCAAAAATCATTTGACTGCCTTCCCGGTTGAATTTTTAGCTGAAATTTGGTATGGATAAACTAGACTTCATGAAGAACATGCTCAAAAGAATTCATCGAAAAATTCGACCGGAAAGGGCCCCAAATGGCGACGGCCGGACGGCGGGTTCTGTCCCTCCGGCTGGACAGGATCAGGCCTCTCTCTCTCTATATATATATATATATATATATATATATATATATAGTTTTATATAGTAAACTTGAGTTAAAAATCAATGATGTGTCAGCTTCTTATTGGACAATCCAAATTCTATTATCCCATTAAATAACATCAACTTCACGCCTAAATAATAGGGAACAGTAAAATTAGTTCACGTATCACATGCTATACATAACAAAAATGTCAAAAATGAGTAGGACTCTAATTTCAACATACAAAAATACTATAGTACACGTAGGACTCTATTAAATATTGTAATATACATATGGCGTTTTTCAACTCAATTCCATTTTGATTGAATATGATTATATGAAATACATCCCAACAGGTTAATTACACTTAACTTCATCCATGCAACAAAAACAAATATGGAATAATTAAGTCACATACTATATATATATGGGAGATTTCCCTAAATAAGACTAAATAAAAGGAATATTTCAACATTAGGAATTTCAAGTTTAAATTCCCAAAATAGGACTAACTCTTTACCTTCTACCCTTTCCCTTATAATTTCTAATAAGATTTTTTAAATAATAATAATAATCATAAAACATAAAAAAATAAAAAAAAATAAAAAAAATATAGGCATCAACCACCACCTCATCGACCTTTCAGCGCCACCACCTTCGGACGTCGTAAAAGAATGCCAACTTGAAGAAGAAAATCATTGTGATGACATTTTTGAAAAGAAAGCTGAATATTTTTAAAGAGTAAAATTGACATCTTCAACACATTTTCAGAGGAATGTGGCATTTTTAACACAAGATGGTATTTTTAACACAAAATGACATTTTTTCGATGACCGGAGCTGGTGGTGCTGGGAGGTGGATGATGCGGTGGTAGTGGCCAACGTATTTTTAAATATTTTCTAGGTATTTTATTTTATTTTTTTAACTTTTTCAACGTTTTTAATTTTTCATTTTATTTTTTTTGTTTTTTTATATGCTTTTTATGGAGTATTAATTTATAAATATTTTATTGTTTTTTTTATATTTTTATTATAAAAAAATTATAAATTTCTTATTAATAAAATAAATCTATTACTAATGATAGGAAGGGGTAGAATGGGAAGAAGGGACATACATTAGTCATATTTTTGGAATAAAAAGATTGTAGTCCTATTGTTGAATTTTGGGCTATTTTTAATCCTATTTAGGGCTAATGCCCCTATAAGTATATTCAAATTCATAACTTTTTATGATCTTTCATATGCCATCAATAATATATATATATATATATATATATATATATATATATATATATATATATATATATATATATATATATATATATATATATATATATATATACACACACACACATATAAATTATCTGTTATATTATATAGCAAAGCTAAGTAAAAAATTAATTAAAAAAACTCTATTACCACTACTACTAAAATATTTAATTCATATAATTTGACTTGGCTCATCATTGTTATTCATCAATGCATGTATTATAACTTACTTATTTAATTTGATTGTACTCCAAAATTTTCAAAAAACACATCAAAATTTATAACTTTTAATGATCTTTCATATGACACCAATATTATA